TTCCGATTCAGCAATGGTATAGACCTGCCGTATTCTACAGTCAAACGCTAGTCGCCACAAATTCGACCAGTCTTTCCCTCGAACCTCAATTAAGTTACAGTTGGTGTAGTCCGCGGTGAAGAATTCTTCGGTACCAAAATTCGACTGCCAACGAAGCCATCGAGCCGTTCTGAAAGTTGTTCACGAGGAACAAACAAATTGCGATTTTTTGGGAATGTCTACCAGTTCGAGAAAAATTGCACGAAATTTCGCACCACTCGTGATTGTTGAAAATTTCGGTATAGACAGATTCGTTTGAAGCAGAGCCAGTGTTAAAAACAGCTGTCAGTCGACTGTCATATCTTCACTATATGCAGCAACCCGCGTTTCGCGTTTTGCTTATGTTCCCCGGGCTCACTGTTGCTTTTGATTTTTTGGCTACTCGTCGTAGCCGTACCGTCTGGCACTATGCGGAACGGACGTAGTCTCGTCGATTGTTCGGGTTACGGTTACATCAGGACGGGACATTTTGATCGTGGCAGCTGTGGCGTGAGGTCCAAATACTGGGACATTCAACACAGCAATACCGCACTTCAAGTTCGCGTTTAGTCACACTGAACAACGCGAAGCCATGCGTTTGCTCGTCTCCTCTCCGTATGTCTGTCTTTTGTACCCTTCAGTCAATGCGTATGCTCCGTTGTTTTGTCATCACGGCAACAACCGGATCATAGCTCGTTCTTCTGTTCCATGGATTTCTCTCAATCTCGAAAGACCGATGCTGGGGGGGGGGACTGGAGAAAGTTACGGAAGCTTTCTGCCTGAATCATGTAACAAACTGGCGCTAGCTCTCATTCTCTCGTCTTTGTACACCACAGAACGGTGCACAGGTCACGATCAGTCCGTAAACGCAGAAGAGCTGGCAGGTCTGTGCGCTCGTTCTCAGGTCAGTCGGAACGACAATTTTAACCCGTCTTTGCATTGTTCAGCATAGGTTTTACATAGCTCTGAGTCATCTTGACACGAGTCTGAAGCAAAAC